TGATTTTAACGAAACCAGAAAAGCAGAAAGATGGCCAAGGAACCGAAAGAGGGCGTGAGATAAAAGTATGAGCAAAGTAAAACCACGGAGTGCACAATACAGCAAAACCAAAAAGCATGCATTGGCAAAAAGCCATGAATAACGCTGAGCCAAATAGTTCATGACCCAACACAACTGGCAAATATTTTAAACGAACGGTCAGAAGTGACGGAGTGCACAGTGGCAACCAAAATATAGCATAAGGTTATGACCAACAACTGGCTAGCAAACATTACTATTAGAACTACAAAGCGTACAAACCAAGGGAAGTTTACTGCCACCGCAAAAACTTGATAAAACAGCTAATCCTGCCACGAACATTAGTTCTCCTTGTCAGTACTGGTGGTGGCGGTCTTGGCTTGCGTTTTCCTGGTTTTACTGACCAACTATTGGATTCACTGGGAAACCGGAGAGTACGGGAACTTCTACTTCTGGATTGTGCTTAGCCAAGTTAAAATCAAGCTACCGAAAAGGAACATACGTCGCAACTGGGTAYAGAACGTGGTTTCTCACTGTCTATATACTCGTGTGGCGGAAGAAGTTTTGCTTCGAAATCTAAGAATTATGTGTTAAGTTTATGGATAGGCTTAATTTCTCCCTCTAGCAATTTTGTAAGCTTTTTATACGTCCGTGAACCAGAGGAGGATGGACACTCGTCCGCAGTGGATCATGTGTGAAAACCTAAGTTTATTTAGTTGAGGTCCAACAGTCGAGAACAGAAGAGCTCCGATTTAAATACTCCAACTCAAAAATATATTCATAATTTTACCGATTTACCTGTGATAAACCGGTCGTAAAACACCTTTTTTTGTCGTCCCCCACAAAATTTCCAAGTTGCACAAAAGTACCCAGGGTTCCTCAGGACCTTACCCAAGAGACCTTTTTCAGGCATTTGCTATAGGGTTCTCGCCTATGGTCCAATCAATTAGATGGAAACACTGAGATGTCAATCAATGTCATTATGTTGTCAAAGGATTATGAAAGGGAGCCGAGCTAACAGATCACGTAATAGAAATGAATGTCTAAGCATGCTCTATTTCGTCGACTGCTGTAATTCAAGACAGGAGGAATAAAAGAAATCAATTTCGAAGGATATAAAGCCGAGAAAATAACAATGATTTTTAAGCGATCATTTCTAAGAATTTTCAAACTTCRCGGGTAATTATCTAAGATTAAGCTACTCATACAGTATTCTCTGCACGGATGCGCGATAAGGAGATCAGGGTTTCAAGACTGAGCCAKATTTACAATAAATGATATAAACACATTCATTCAACATGGCTTGTTGAGATACATAGCAGTATTTATTTTAAGATCTCATTCGATTAAAGAAGCATGGAATAAAAAAATATGCTAAGCAAATCATCAGGGTTTGATCTCCATTAATTTTGTTCAAAACTCTTGGTGATTCTTTAAAACAATATCGATAACTTATAAAATTATAAAATATGAAGCAATTGTGAGAGAGTTAAGTCTTGAGCACATATATGCCTTTAAATTTTAAAATCTGGACCGGACCGRAATTGGAATTTGGAGTTTGGAGCCCCAATTATGATTGAGTTATTTGATGACTTTTATCGGTTTGACATAGATGCTTTGCGTTAATATAAACGGCTTCCAACACTGTTGTACGAAATTTGCATGGGGCCATCAGAGTAGATGGGGACGACGTCAGAGGTAGGTGTTTCCAACGTTACTTGACGACCGCCATTTCAAAACTTCCCGATTGGACTTTGGTCTTTTATGAGCCGTCAATCATTTTTGGCTTACGCCAAAAGAGTCTTTGAACACGTACGTTCACTCATTCCAATCGAAGTTTTGGAATAACTATCGCGCTACTAAAAATATATATCGCAGTAAAAATGGATTCTTTTGCAATAAATACAGAAGAACGTTACGCAGAGAGCTTTAAAATCTTTCGACAAATATCAGAAGAAATTCCTCAGCTCGTTAACATGCTAAACGTATGTCTTGGAGACATTTTATCGAAGCTAAACTTCTCACCGCAGGACAGCTATCAGCTCAACGTACTGAGTGTTGGTGGTGGATCTGGAGAAGTAGATATTGAAATCTTAAAGCTTTTGAACAAGAAAATGGTACAGGAATCGAAAGGTTGTCAAATAAAGATAGACAACTGGGTTGTTGAGCCAAATAAGTATTTCCTGGACATCTATGAAGCTGCAATCGAACAGTTACCAMCATCTTGGCTTAAAGAAGAAGAGGGAGCAGAACCAGAACAACGCCCGAAGAATGAAGGATCTGGAGAAGTACTTTTCAAGCTGTTGAATATCACTTTTGATCAATTCATGGAGACAAATGTTGACAAGAAGTTCCATATAATTCACTTTGTACATAGTCCTTACTATATTGACATGGAACAAGCTCTCGTTCATTGTATGGGAAAGATTCTTCATCAAAATGGCTGCGTCATTTGTGTTGTCGAAGAAGATGGTATTGTAGAAACGGTTGTTAATAAGTTAAACAAAGTTGGCCAAAGTGACAACGCCACCAAGTGCAAGGAAAAGAACATCGCCGAAAGAATCAAGAAGATAGCTGAGAACCACCATTGGAAATTTGAGAATCATATTGACAAGTACAAGTTTGATATTTCCGACGTTTTCGATGAACAATCAAAAACTGGGAACCTTCTGCTCGACTTTTTCACTCATGTGGTCGATTTTCGCTTGACCAATGATCAAGTTACTGTCCAAGAAACTTTGGATCACATTAGAAGTTTGGCGTTGGTCGAASATGGAAAGCATTTTGGATCCGCGGTTGAACGCATCATGTTCATTTACAACCATGATAACTAGACAAAATAACTAGAACTCGTCTAGGAGCCTATTTAAAGAAGAATTTGTAAGGGGAAAATAAAAGGCTTTTAAGCTATTGAATTTTAAGAATTTATAAGGGAACCCCCCTTGAAGGTTTGATCTTTTAGGTAATAGAA